AACTGATGTGATGTTTTTAAGCAGCTCTATGTCGAAAGAGTCAGTACAAGGAGTAGTTAATACCAGCTGCTGTAACAAACAATTCCCAAATCTCCGTGGCTTAACACCATGAGAGTTTATTTCTTATTATGGCACAACATGATATGAGTTGGAGAGTCCTCCTCCATCTTTTAGTTGTGCCATTTGGAATATGTGGCCTACAAGATCTCAGGAGGAGAAAAGAGAGCTGGAGGGCTATGCTGGCTGTTGTAAAGACCCACATCTGGAAGTGGCTTATATTACTTGGTTCCTCATTCTTTTTTGGTTAGAGTTTAGTCACATGGCCACAGCCCAAATGCAAGGGGGCAGGGAAAATGTAGTCTTGTCTGTCCAGGAAGAAGTAGTACAGTGAACATATAACAAATTATTTACATGCCCATGTTAGGGAATAATCTCGTCTTGAATTATTCTGGAGTGACTTTTGGTCCACGTGCCCTGTGAAGCCTCCAGTACCGATCCAAGACGTGAACAAAACCAGATGAGGTGGAGCGTGTCGTTTAGCTGAGGGGCCTGGACAGTACAGGTTCACTGAGTTGCAGGAATTGTGTAGTCTCAGCCCGTCTTGGCCTGGCATTTATGAAGCAGAGATGATGACTAACATCAGTGGTAGTGCAAAAGTGATTTGGGACAAAGTTTTATTCACACATCCTGAAAAACAGTACAAAACTGTGGACAGCAGTGTGACAGCCTCATTCGTGTCTCTGGTTTGTGTGCTTGCTTAGCCCTCTGGGAGGCTGTGGAAGCTTCCTACCCACTCAGCCCTGGAAGCCTCTTCAGTGCTTAGTTGTAGACCTGACTGCCCTAACCCCGTGCCTTTCCTGTTCCAGGTTCACGAGAAGGATGTGATTGGCATCGCACACCACCCTCATCAGAACCTGATTGCTACCTACAGTGAAGATGGACTCCTGAAGCTCTGGAAACCCTAATTTTGACTTTTCTTTTTAACGTATCTTGAGAGCATGTACTTAAATGAAGACATAGTCATGTGTTGCTATTTTTTTTTAGGCCAGCTTTCTAAGCAGATTGTCTGAATTAGGCACAAGAATAATTTTGTGAAAATTCATGTTTAAGTAGCAGTTACCCTTTTTTATATTTTGTAAAGGTATTCGTTTGTCTGTTTCTAATTGGGGCAGTCACTTAATGTTTTCAATAATCTTCTACCTGGAGAGTGAAATACTGATGTTTCTAGAAAAAAATTGTACTCCTTTGATTATTTGAAATGCTGATTAAAATGTGCCTCCTGCAGTAAAACTTGTAAATAAGGAACTATCCCATATTCAGTAGCTGTTTACTGGTTTTTTTTTTTAGATGTTAATAAACTTGACACCTTTCTGGAGGCTTTGTTTTTAAATGTGAATAAGTGCTCATCTAGTTAGCATATTTACTTAGAATCAGGTGAGGGGGTGGGACACAGCGATTATCCCTGACTCTCTAGTTCAGCGGGAGGTCAGTTCCAGGGTGGAAGGACAGACTGTGAAAAAGCCCTCACCCGTCCACTCCTTCTCCTTAGCAGTGCCTTCACACGTGTTTTGGCCGACTCCAGGGACTATCACCTGCATCTTCTGAATAGAACTAGTTGCAGGATCCATCATGAGAATTCAGTTTTGGCATCTCCCTTAGGTGAGGGAGGGTTTGGAATTGAAAATGTGCTATTGTTCTGAAGAAAAATTAGAAAAGGACCTGGGATTTAGAAAAGTCTTTTTTGCGATGTGTGTCATTACCAATTAGCTAAAGAAACGAAGTTCAGAGCCGACAAAACCCTTGAAAATATTTTGCATGTGGGTGTCTCTCTTATGTTTCAACAAAAGATGTATGGAATTCCTGTGTCGATGTATGAAGGTGCTGTGCTGGGTACCATTTCAGGAAGGTGAGACCTTGTTTGTGTAGGCCTTTTATGCCCCCTTGTAGTTTTAGCGTTAGGTACAAACTAGTGAGGAAAGTTTTTAATAAGTTTTGCAGCCTTCTAATTTCCCTTTGATTGTATCTTGAAATACAGCCTGAACCTGTGTCTGGCACACAGTAATGCTCAATGTTGGCTGAATTCACTTAGCAGTACTGAGAAATCCCTCTTTCCTAGACATAGTCCCAAAACTTTTTTTCCTTTTGCCACAGAACCTGCAGCTTTTTAACAAAATGTCATTTGCTAGCATTTTGGGAGTTGAACATAGCCGTGAATCCATGAGTCCATGTGAACGCAGTCTGCCATCCCAGTGAAAGAAGCCTGCACTTAAGTAAAAGGAGTTTAAGTTGGGAAGAGGAAACAGCTTATCCTAAAATCCCTTAGAAAAACCTCAAAAATTGGGTTTTTGATTGAGCCCAGGACCTCGTGAACAGGCAGTCGTGAGAAAAGCAAGAATCTGGCCAGCGCGGTTTGCTTATTCCTTCTACGAGTTTTTATCAGACGCTGCCTCTTCGTGCACAGTGCTGGAGGGCAGTTAAAAAAGACAGTTTGTCATAGGATAGGGAGAAAAAGCAAGTTACAAGGAGTAATTAAAATAGCGGGGTAAAAGAAAATTTTGAGGTTTTTTTTTTGCTAATGGGATGGAAGGGCATCTAATCCAGCCTCCTGAGTCAGGAAAGGCCTCCTAAGGGGCTGGCCCTGAAAGGACCAATGGGAACTAGAGGGGAATGGGTTCGGGATCTAAGTGATAGAGGGAGGCTTTCCAGGCCGTGCAGTGGGGTCAGCACTAAGGCGTGTGCTGGACGAAAATGGTAGCGTCAAGGTAGGCCAAGGGGAGAGGCCTGGATTGGGAGCTTAACATTGTTTGTTTGTATTTTTTCTTTTTAATAAAGTAATGCATTGGTGTAACAAACACAAAGGTGAAAAAAAATGAATCTTCTGCCGTTTCCAGGTAACCCTTGTGCATCTGTCTACAACTAACTTCATTTTGTACAAACCTAAAAAGTTTGTTGTTACTTATTTTGTTCAAAAGTGGATACATGCTTCCCCTTACTCTGTGCCTGGCTTTTCTCCTGAAGGCCATGTGGCCATCTCTCCAGTACAGAAACGGGGGAGCCTGGGGACAGAGGCCGAGGAGGAAGAGGGCGCCTGTGCTCCTTGGCCCGCACAGCTGCCCAGCGCCCCCGAGTCCTGGGTCACGGGAGCCCTGCGCCTCGCCGGAGCCAATTGTCGGGCTGCAGGCGTCTGCTGGCGCCGCTGGGCTGGTTTCCCTTCACATCCTGGCAGTCAGATCGTGTTATTGGCCTCTCTACCGCAGCAGAGGCCAAAAGAGCGGCAAAAGAGCGCATCCGGATGCTGGCCATGTAGGCGAACTCCCTGCTGAAACTAGGTGTGTCAGGTTCCCAGGGAGGAGCTCTGCTCAGCCCACCCACTTAACCCCATACATCACTTACAATTTGTGGCATTCGTGTTAACTCCATGCAAGTAAGAACATTTGTCTTACCCCTGGCTCAGCTGTTGAATTAGTAACTCCAGAAAACATTGAACCACCTGATGATCGTATTTCAGGGCAACTTAAAAAAAAAAAAATACATAAACAGTCTCAGGTGCACTTTAGTATCTTCCTCACCAGTCTTTATTTTTCAACTCGTACTACTACCACTAATAAATAGCGTTTGCTGAGGCCGCCCTTCTTACGTAAGCAGCCTTCTTTCTCTGTGAGGTATAGCCTGTTCTGATTTCTATTATACACATAAGAAACAGGTTTCCAGAGGTTGCCGTCTTGCTCACAGAGCTCACTGAAAACCAGGTGATTCCAAAGCTCAATTCCTTTTCTCTTTGAATCTAGCTGCTGTCAGTTTCTTCTGTCTTTAGGTTTGGGCAGAAGAAAAGAACCCAAGGATTGTTTCTCCGCATTGTTAAAACTTATCGAAACTGGCCATAGGCAGTGAGATGAGTAAAAAACACTGAACTACAAGAATTTGGATTCAGTCTCTGCTGTCATTTGATGTCTTTTTACTTGCGCCAGAACAGTGGTTCTAAGTGTCACCTGGTAACTTGTTTGGAAGGCAAATTCTCAGGTCCTACCCCAGACCTACAGAATGAGAAGCTGTGGCAGTGGGGCTCAGCCAAGCCTACTCCAAGCTGAGAACCAGTGGACTAGAGAGTTTTTCATCTATAAAGTAGGTGCTTTGATTCTTCTGTCAGTCTCACCAAGTTGGTGAGATAACCAAATAAAGGTACAAGACTTCAGAAACCCTTGAAAGCGCATCTTTGTATTGCTGTGGCTTGCTAACGTTTTCATTCACTGTGCTTTTTTAGAGCCCATGCTTCGTTTTCTTACACTGTTTGCAAAGAAATTGCAATGAAGTGTGCATGTGGTAAGCTGGGAGGCTCCCTTGTCAGAGCTTCCCTCTTGCGGTATCAAGGGCTGGCATTACTTGACCTTCCACAGCAATTCTAACAGTTGCGTTACTGTCCTATGTGGTTAATACAACTACGTCCTTATGTTGGTGGCACCAAACTTCGGCTGTACATAACCATCCTAATGCTTAGGCTACACCCAGCTCAATTACACCAAAATCCCCTGACAGTGGGACTCAAGGCATCAGCATGTTTGAAAGCTTCCCGGGTACTCCAATTGTAGCTAACGTTGAGAACCAGTACCATATGCAGAAAAGATCTGATGTTAGTTTCACATAAAGACCTGTCATGTTCCATGAGCACCCTCATGGGACATCACTGGCCTCTATTTATTCCCTGCAAGTATGAGTAGGCAAGGGAAGCACCATGGAGAAAACAGTTAATGCTGGGGCCAGGAACTGCACTTGTGTGAAAGCATGTGTTATTTCTGTGATGACCTTGGTCAATGATCTAAGAGGCATTTTTTTTTTTTTCCAGACTATAGCACTAACTCCATTCCTTTTCCTCCCAGCTCTTGGCAACCTTTGTCTCTATGAATTTGCCTATACGTCGTATAAGCAGCAGCAGCAATATTTGTCCTTTTGTGTCTGTCAAACATACCACATTTTGTTTATCCATCTGTTGGCTACACGAGTCGTTCCCCCTTTGGCTATTGTGAATAACACTAACAATAAACACTGGCATACAAGTATCTGAATCAAGGAGCATAATTACTGGGTCATATGATAACTCCATGCTTGGCTTTTTAGGAGCTGCTCAACTTTTCCATAGCAGTTGTACCCTCTTACATTCCCACCAGCAATGTACAAAGTTCCAGTTTCTCCAAATTCTCACTTATTTTCATTTGGGATTAGTTTTAAGTGGAATCTCACTGTGGTTTTGATTTGTATTTCCCACATTAATGATAATGTGGAAAACCTCGTGTAATGATTTTTCTATTTTCGTTTTTAAAATGTCTTTTAAAACGTCCCTAAATATATTACAATACAGGTTCACTGTGGAAATTTTTAGAATCTGTATATAAGCCCAGTAAAAACTAAAATTTCTCATAACCATTATTTTGAATACTTTGATTTGTTACGCTTTCCTGAATACCTGCTTCATATTCAAACATATCAGGGCACACAGACTAAAAAGACAACCCAAGACTCATAGAAGAGGGAAAGGTTATGAACCATAGAAGAAAGAGAGGTTATTATCTATCAATGTCACTATGACAAGAAACACTGAAGGCTTGGGAACTACTCCTTACACCAAGTTTTTAGTCTCTCCTTTTTAACTCAACTGCTCTCTATGGCGGGAACTTAGGATGTGGGCCACTTCCAGGCTGGAAATGTTATGCTGATTACAGGAGATACAGCAGAACCAGAGACAGGATCAAGAGGCAAAAGGCGCTCTCATAGTCTCATTCTGGTGTTTGCCAAGTTTTTAAAATCCTTTTTTGGCTCATTACCCCTCCAGTTTTGTTCTCCACCCTTGTTTAGTATTAAATATTGAACTGTAGTTAAATAGTATTTTTTTGTATTACTCATTTTAACTAGTTAAATGAAAAGTTACCTTAGTGAAAAACCAATGCTCTAATCTGGGAAAAAAAAAGCCTGTGGTGACACGCTGGAAATGCTTTGTAATCAGTATATTAAGGAGACATTCACACATTTCAATTGCTTAAATTCTGATATCCAGATTTAAGCCTGTGAACATGACTTTTAAACATACAATTAAAGCTATTCATCATAATTTGCTATACTACCAACAGTAAGTTACAGTTACTTTGGAGCATAAATTAAATGGTTTAAAGCAAGCCTGTAAGTACCTAAAAAACACCTTCCTAACTCATACATGCAAATTACTCTCCATAAAGTCTTGTGACTTTAACTAAGTCACCCTGGCTCCTAAAGTCACTACTGTGAGCCTTATCATGGTCCAAAGAAAAGGAAAAAATAATATAACCAGGTCTGATAGTTATATATGTTAAAAAAACAAAAAAAACACAAACATGGCACAGCAGAAGGGAATGCAGTTCTGTAAGTGCAAGTCCTGAAGCAGCAGCAGATTTGATAAACCCCTTCTGTAGAAAGGTGTCATTTCTATCACTGATCCCACAGGCTCAATCACACAGCATGCCATCTTCAAGTACAGTGGAGGCAATAGAATAAATGCAGAAGCATCACAATGAATCCCACTTAATACAACTATACAGACCAACACTTCGCTACAAAGTAAGTTCTTTGTCTGATAGCCAGTTAATACAGAGTTTTAATTTCATAGCTTAACAATAAAGGGTCATACACTGAAGTCAACACATAGACCTAGCATTTCAGTCTAAGCTAGTCCATGTACACAGCTGAAATCAATTACAAGGTAAGACCTAACAAATGCCAGGGGGAAAATTCCTTTTAAAGTAGTTTTTACAGGTATTAAACTTATCTTGCACACTGAAGTCATCATACATACAGGGCAAAGTCAGAGCTTTTATATTTGAGTTTATTCTTCATTTAACTTTTAAAACACTACTATAGTTGAATATTTAAACAAAAACAATAGCAAGTAGTGAGCATATTATGATTACAGTCCTTCACTCATTCACCACTGCATATAAAATGCTAGCAGTGAGTGTTCTTCACTGGCCCCATTAGGAGGTCTGACACTGAACACCACCCCTGGGATGATGTTCATCATCCTCATAGGCTTCTCCATTGTAATGGCGCCGTCTTTCCTGATTTGGATCAAAGTCCACCAGTTCTACCTGGTCCATTTCATCAGTCTCTTCTACTTCCTTCCTCTCAGGTAGGAGTTTTTCCAGCAAAGAGAGTTTATCAGGAGAGAGAAAGCCATTCTCAGGAAAGTTTACCTATATAAAAAGAAATTTCTACTGTAAGTTCACTTTGATTTACTTCATTATTAGCTCCTTAGACAAATTACTGTCCCATTTTCCCCAGAAAAACACATGTAACCACACAATCTTTCAGTGAACCTGCCAATCCCAGGTTAGAACACATGTTCTAATAAGGCACAGCATCTCACACTCTGAGAACCAGCGTAATGATCCTAGTCAAATTGCACTCTAACAATCATTGTCTATTCAGCAAATATTTTTTTTTATATGTGAACCCATCCTATAACACATTCCAATCCCTTTTAACAGATAAAGCTATTCTTACTTTTTAAGGTAGTCCTTTTTTACCCAGAGATATTTTTAATAAATGTTAGATTTGTGGGTGAGAGGCCAGTCAATTTAAGACTGAGGAAAATGGCTGGGTTGCTTTATGAACCATCCTATTAACAAACTAAGCATTGAGGTATTTTGCCAAAAATCCACAATAGTTACCTTAAGTGCTTCCGCACTTTAAGATCCTAGTTATAGCCCTCCATTAATAAAACAACCACTTGCCAGGCGCCCCTCCCCCCACCTTTAACTAGGCAATAATAATGCAAACAAACCCAATCCCAACTTGTCAACAGAGAATGCCAGTGGTATTAGATCAATGTACCTCCTCCTGGACAAGGGAGAATATAAATTTGATGTTTTTTGCCACTCAGAAAATGTAATTCAGTTATCAGCTTTTAGTAAGCTAATCATTCTCAAATACTCCTGGAGTATTTCATGGCTTACCTTAAATTCAATGATTAGGCGACCCTTCTCATATGGTCTACGATAAATTGGCATGCCTTCATTTAGCACACACTTGATATCTCCATGCTTGACGATTTGACCTAAAAACATTGAAGCCAAGTTCTTCCTTAAATATAATCACATTTTTATGAGGCTTTAGGGAAAGTAAAGAACAGAGGAATGTGTCCCAGCTCACTGATTTGTTAGCACCATTGAGTCGATTCTGACTCGTAAATCACTGATAGAAGTAAATTTGTGAAACAATCCTGTTACCTTTTATTTATGGATTTTCTAGGGGCTTCCAAAAGAGAGCCAAGACCATACAATTTCAGCTCAGCTAACAAGGGAGGATGTGTAGCTAGGCAAGTAAAATACACCAGCTATCGGCAGACAAGAAAAAGAAATACTAGAATAGAAAGAGAACCTCATCTAGTTACCATACCTGGATGAGAGGTGATAACTATGGTTCGGTTGTCAAGAGTAGATATTGGCTTTTGGAAGCCACATAATGCTTCAACCAGCTGTATGTCCATACACATGAAAAGGTCTTCTCCTCGTCTGTATCAACGTAAATACGGCACGTACTTAGATCTTTCAAATAACCAATGATTAGAAGTACCACAGCAGGCAATTCTGTTTTCTTAACAGCAAGGTTATCTTTTACAAAAACACTCTTTTTTCCCCATTCTAAAAACAGAGTTGAGGGTCCAGCCCGGTGGCACAAACGGTTAAGTTCGTGCTCTCCGCTGCAGCGGCCTGGGGTCAGCCAGTTCGGATCCCGGGCGCGCACTGACGCACCCCTTGTCAAGCCATGCTGTGGCGGCGTCCCATGTAAAGTGGAGGAAGATGGGCATGGATGTTAGCTCAGGGCCTATCTTCCTCACAAAAAAATAAAAAAAATAAAAACAAAAACAGAGCTGAGAACTGAGACCAACAAATATATGGAGCCCACCAGCCCTGCTGTCTGGACAAAGCTTCAGAACTCCTTCCACACACTTTTCTAGGCAGCCTTTATCACTATCCTCAAATTGTTTCATTATCTAATTTTAAATCTAGTTTCTCACATAGAGAAGAAAAAAATTCTCAAAGGAGTGAGGCTAAAAGAAAGCAAAAATACATGAGAGAGAGAGGACATCATGGTGTAAGTCGAACAGACTTCAGCCGGGTCCTGGATTATCTAGGTTCTATGAAATTAAACAGTGGGGACATGGCCAATTTCAAGGGATAGTTAAGAATTTCTTTATTGATGTACATGACTGAAGTAACTTAGCGCCTGGTATATTACGAACACAATCTTTTATATTTAGTAACAGCCCACTTCCTCCTTCTAGTGCTTAGACTTTCTTCTTTTCCATTCCATATTCATAACCTATTTTTAATCAGGCAGAATACTCTCCAGAAAAACTGAGGATTTGGGGCCGGCCCCGTGGCTTAGCAGTTGCATGCTCGCGCTCCGCTGCTGGGGGCCCGGGTTTGGATCCCGGGTGCGCACTGATGCACCACTTTTCCGGCCATGCTCTGGCCGCGTCCCACATACAGCAAACTAGAAGGATGTGCAGCTATGACATACAACTATCTACTGGGGCTTTGGGGGGAAAATAAATAAATAAAAATTAAAAACTGAGGATTTGCCTCAAATGATAGCATCAAAATCCTGACAGCATTTCCCATTACTGTTGAGACGCTTGTAGAACATTCTATTACAATTAATTCAAAACCAGTTCCTTCAGATGTCATTCCCAACAGATTTACTGGAACCCTAAACCAGCCCAATGTTTTAAAATTAGCCATGGATATCTATTTAACACATTCACTGTTAACCATCAAACTTTTTTTTTTTTTTGAGGAAGATTAGCCCTGAGCTAACATCTGTTGCCAACCTTCCTCTTTTTTTTGCTGAGGAAGACTGTCCCTAAGCTAACAGCTGTGCCCATCTTCCCCCATCTTATATGTAGGATGCCTGCCCATAACATGGCTTGATGAATGGTGCGTAGGTCTGCGCCCAGGATCCGAACCCACAAATCCTGTGCTGCCAA